AAATAACAATATATGACCTGAGACGAAAAACATGAGGCCTTCCAATGAGTGTGTATACATCTGAAGCAGTGAGTGTAGAATCCTTGGTCCATTTCGGAAAATGCACCAAGTTTTCTTTTTGCAAATGGTAAGGGAAGAGCAATAAATCTCCACGTGTCATGCTACAATTCCCCCATTTGCGGTTGAGATGCTCCATGACTGATGATATTTTCTTTTGTGTGCTGAGAGTGAGCTCCAGATACGGATTGTGGTTATCCTACGAAAAGGTTGATAATAAAATATATAAACTCTGAATGTCCATGAACGATTGACACAATCTAAACACCAAACTAATTTTATATTGGTGTTTACCAGTTCCAACGCTCTTCTTGTGCCATCATCAATAGGAAAGAGTTGGAGTTTAAGTTTCTTAGAGCTTTGCACATTGAGCTCATTGAATGAATTGCGTAACGAAGTTTGAAAAGCGTGTGGAACTTCTCCTCCTTGTTCCAAACCATTTTGCACTGAAACAATGCGAAGAAAATTTGGCACCAAAAACAACGTAAGTTCCCACTAAATCGTAATGGTGACGCTTGCAATTTTGAAAACCATCACCATCATCAGTTCACTCACCATGTGTATCCTGGAACGTTGTGTCATTGGTTGTACGCTCCACATGTTCAGCAGCATCCGCAACCAATGAAACACCGGCAATTGCAGCCTTTTCCCATCTTTTATATGCAGACGTGGATACAGCATCTGGCTCAAATTGTAATAGCAAATCAACCATCAAGAAAGTGTAAAGACTTTGGGGGCTCTGATAAGAACAACTTAAATACTCCGTAAGAGAAAACACCCAGATATGTAAGCGAACCACCAACCCCATATATTTTTTATTTGACTCGGTGACTCCATTTACTGGCCGAGTAGCTCGGTGGGGGTAACGAGTGAAGAGTTCAGAACAAAAAATGAGGAAAGCAGCTAAAAAGTCCAAAAAGGTGGATATAAGCATAACACCAACCTTGAATCAAAAGACTTATGAATAAGGAATTTAGGATTTACGAACTTAGGAATTAGTGATGGCATATGGAGTCTGAACAAATGCAGTCAGGCACCTAAACTTCGATGTGGATGATTGTATCGTCTTTAAATGTTTTACGAGTAATGCTAATGGTTGGATTGTAGTTTGTATTTATTTAGATATGTATAATCCCATGACTAATATTATAAGATATCTCTTACGTGACCAAATAATCATCAACTACTCTTGGTAGTCAGCATACAAGCTGCTCGGCATTTGGCTGAGTGCCTGAGTAGCTACCGAATAATGCATTAACATATTCTATACAGCTCCCCTATGGAAGTTTTAATGGAATGAAACGTTTGTCTGAACAAAACATTTCATGTGCCAGCTTTCAATATTGTTCCATTAAACAAGTGTCCCCATTTAAATTTACCAATGAGAGATAAGGCAACCTATAACTAAGACACAGCATGAATGAGCATAATTAATTAAAATGTGTTACCTGTCTTTCGCCGATGTCTAACAGTTTTAAGAAGAGGAGATGGCGCTTTAGAGGAAGTGTTACTGGAACCTATATTTACATGGCGCTTTAGCAATGATCCTTTTCCGGGACCATATTTCTGCATGTCTTGAGTGTCAAGAACCACTTTAACATGCTGGTCATCGTGACCAGATGCGCGGCCTTGATTTGAGACAGAAATAGGGGAAGCTGAAGTGTTCTCCCCTTGAGAAAAGCACCTTCTTACATTCTTTTTTCGGTCTTTCAAGAGTTGATTCTCCTTTAAAACAAAACAGAGCAGTCATATAAATGCCATGGTGAATGATATAGACACACGAAACATCAAGAAGTTCCTACTAACCAAGGTCTCGATGAATACTTTGAATCTCCTGGGCTTCAAGTGAAGCTTTGAAGCTTTACAGCTATACTTTTCCAGTAAGGACCACCTAGAAATTTAGAGATATACATATGATTAATCACATAATCCCTTAAAGGGAATTAGAGGTTTAATGATGTGTACAGATTTGTTAGCAAAACTCATATATCATACATGACATGCCTTTCTAATTATTATGTTTAGGGGGGATGTGGCTACAAGATTTTGAAATAGCACTCGTGAAAGATGGTAGGAGTCATCCCCAAAGAGTTCCATCAAAACCAGGGAGATATATAAAGTTACAAGGAAAGCAGACCCATTGCAAACCTCAAGATTAAAGTCAAAAGTGATATGGAGTAATAACTAAATGGTTACCAGCGCAGCATTGCAGCAATCGTGTCTTTTGAGTTTTTGGCATTAAGGCAGAGATTTGGCCCCAACAACTTGTTCATGCGCCTAACAAGACGATAGTAGTAGTGCCTAACCTGGAAGGTTGAAAGCAAAAGTGGACACAACGGCATCAAGATCATGGTTAATAGCTAAAGGGACATTAAGGTATCCGGTATGAATTCGCTTAGTATCCATTAATCACCTGATCCTTGTTTTTAGTATGAACACGACTGGTGATTTTTTCAAAGTTCTGCAGAGGAAAACAACACTTCTGGTTTCAGAATGCATATCATGAGGAAATAAATTATGACGAAAAGTTTGAAAAAAAGAATTGCCTTGCCAACATGTCGTAATGCTGAGAAAAAACTTTCCTCCTCTTCGCGCGTCCATGCAGCCCATTTTCTAGTCTCTCTTCTGACTGTTAGCATACACCCACAAGTATGTAGGGAAGAGCATTTTGATCACACAAGAGCAAATCATAGTAGAATAAAGTAAAAGTACGAAAAAATGATCCTGACATACCTGGCCGTTGAAGGACAGGACGATCTCTGGAGGGCATTACTTGCTCTGCCATAGCGTGATCCTGTGAGAACATTGTCTGTTCTGGCATATCATGATCTTGCGAGGATTCTATTTGTTTATGTACACAATCAACTTCCCCAAATGTAAATCCCCCGTCGTCCTTACGTGGAGATCTTCTACTGTGGGGGTCTGCATCACTTCCTAAAGTGAGCTGGACTTCCATTCCCATTTATCATCCGAAGATGCACTCTTGGCACCTATACAGCTATTGACACAATACTAGTTCAGATACCTAAATCATTAAGAGTTACAAGTCATTAACTGCAATTTAAGCATAGAACAGTTCTTCAGCGTACAAGATAAGATGACCGGAATTGAAAATTCACCATGTTCAATTCAATTAATCAGTAACCACATCCAAACAATCTAGGCGGATAAACTTATGGAACCTTCTTGTATAGTATCAATGAATTATCATCATATTCTATATAACACCGACACGCCATACCTCGGAAGAAATCGCGAGTCGGACGCTGCGCGCGGCGTCAGAGACACGCCAGACGGAGTGAAGGCGTCGGAATTGTAATTTGGAAGACGCCGGCAGAGGAGAATCCGGCGATAATGGGTCGGTTCTTTTTCCCCTTTTTTTCTGCGGGAGGGAAAACCAGAGGGACTCGTCGGGTCAGCTATGCGGTGGTTGGATCATGGATGGATACTCAGTCCGATCTGTGGTTCCACATCGTTCTTCAGTGGCTCGCTATGCCTGGCTTATCCATTAATTGGCCCATTAATCGGCTTGGGCAGGACATGGTTTCAAGTTGTTTTGTCTTGGGTTTTAATCAATTCGGATTTTATTTTGGGCTGGACAAGGTTTTCTTGTATTTTGTAAATATAGTCCCGGTCCATCTCTGATGTTGGCTAATTAACTAAATTATTACTCTCTTTGTCCCACTAAACTTTTCTCCTTTTTTTTCATCAGTCCTAATTTTTTTTATTTCTATTAGTTTTTAATTTTTTATCCTATACTTCGCATGGGCTCGCATATTTTTATATAAAATATATCTATAAATTTGATATTATATTAAAAACTGAAACTAAAATTAAATAAATAAGTGAATTGCTATTAAAGTTGTTCTATTACATTAACTATTGATGGAACACATAAATACTTACTCTATCTTAAAAAGAATTATATTCTTCATAATATAAAAGTTACGGAAATTTTTATTTATTTGAGCATTTTGATTGATTCTTTGATAAAAAAAATATAATCTTGTAACCTCTTGTTTTGTAGATCTTTTGACGTAGTTTTCAAATATATAGGTTTTATTTTTTTACTTTCGATTTCAATCTATTGACGCGGGCTACCGACATCGTGGGGAGGTCTCGTTGCACCCTCTTCTCGTTGGTGTTCTGCCGAATATTGATGTTGTAGTTCATGGCTTGTGCCGCCGTGTGACCTCTGTGGCACTGAACTTTGATGCACTGCTGATTGCCTAGCCACGATGTTCGTCGTTGATGTTTTCCCAATGAGGAAGAAGACTGCCATCAAGTACTGTTATCGACGCCGAGCTGCTGCCACGGGATTGCTAATAGTGGTGGTGGCGGCCAAAGAGGGGCTGATGTGGAGCGAGAATATTCAACGGGTTTGCATAGAACTCGATGAATAATCTTCTAGTTATACTTCGTTATGTTGTGATGTTTAATTGCAATGTGGTAATCGTTAGAACTTCATTCCTCGATATGCTACTATTTGTGTCAAATTGTATTCGTTTGTGTTGTGAATCTTATTGCGGATAAATGTGTAGTGAATTGAGAATGTGAAATAGGTCACCTTTTATATATATATATATATATATATATATATATATATATATATATATATATATATATATATATATATATATATATATATATATATATATATTGGTTCAGGTGAGAATGCAATCTAATGAAAGAAATAAGAATGAATCTAGTGCATTAGATTAGGAGATCTAAGGGTTAGGATTGCATCAAAATTAGGTGCACTAAGATGGTTTGAAAATGCATCATGTCGAGATGCACCATAATCCTTTAAAAATGCACTATCTCGAAATTTGAGTGCTGAATGCAATCTGAGCCGCACGATACATCAGATCCAAAGGCTAGATTTTATTCTTATTTCTTTCACCAAGGTGCATTCTTACTTGAACCAGCCCCTATATATATATATATATATATATATATATATATATATATATATATATATATATATATATATATATATATATATATATAATTGGGTTCAAATGAGAATGTCATCTAATGAAAGAATTAAGAATGAATATGCACCCTTGGATCTTTGCAAATTTTATTTTTGATCTGCGCCACCCAAATATACCGATATGGACAAATTTGTACTTTCACAAACTTCCGTTCTTTCTTGAGTGAGTCCCCTTCCGCAAGAATAGCTCTGAAACTACTTCCATTCACGCAAATCACTTCCGAATTTCTTGCTATTCATTTATAGTGATTTTACATATTTTCTTTTTCCATTTGAAATGGATGATTACAGATTGCCTTGTATAGTTTGACTTTTTTTCCTTTTTTTTTACTTTTTGTTTATTTTTTTGTTATTGTGCATTATGAGAGTCAAAATAATGCCTTTTCATGAGATTGCAATGCATTCTCACAATTAAAGTAAAAAATAATGCATTCTATTTTTGTGCATTCTCATAATCAAAGTTTATGCATCTAATGGTGAAATTCTCTTGACACAAATGTGATGCATCCATATATTCTAGATAGTGAAATTTCTGCAAATGACANAAAAACAAATTCTTGCATATTAGCTCAAATGGTAAATCTGAGTTTGAATTTTCCATAGGCAAATATGTAATACACTTATTCTAAATACATTGTGTTCTTAGCCATTCTCATTACATAGAAAGTCACTTAGAAGTTATTATTCACTAATTCACAAATTAATAGAATAAAATTGGAATATAAATATATAATCTAAAAGATAAACTGCAGTGCACATAACGATAGACAAAGTGCATTCGCATTGGATATGTATTTGTGGATATCACAGTGCATCTCCGAGAGACATGTTTTAAAAAGTGGCATATTAAAAATCATTTTTAAATTAGATGCTTTTTCAAGTATATAATTTCACTCTTCTTAAGCATCGTGTCGAGTCAAACACGGAGTGTTAATTAGGGGCGGATGGAATAGCATTAAGAGAGTGTTATATCTTGAAATATTGGTCTAAAAATTATAGATGCATATTTCTTTCGTTTTATTATAAAAAAATTATTTATAAATTATATAGAAATCATCCTAAATAGGACTAAGACATAGAGAAAAGTACCAAAATAGGACTTTCTTATTTTTTTTCTGGAATAAGACTTTGCATTGTGGTAATGTGGCAGTGTACATGTGCAAATTACTATACTTTCTTGGTAATGTATATGACCATGTTTGGTAATGTAAGTCCTATATCAGGAATAAAAATATAGAAATCCTATTTTGGTATATTTTCAATGTTTTAGTCCTATTTTGGTCTTTCTCTCTTAAAAAGTACATTGAGAGTGAGAAGAAGATAAGAATAAAGTTTTATATAATATTGGTGTTATTGTTTAGATCTCGACCAGAGAAAAGACCAAAGTAAGATTAAAACATTGAAAATATAACAAAATAGGACTTCCATGTTTTTATTCCCGAAATAGGACTTACATTACCAAATATGGTCATATACATTACCAAAAAAGTATAGTAATTTGCACATGTACATTGCCATATTACCACAATGCAAAGTCACATTACCACAATGCAAAGTCCTATTCCGAGAAAAAAACATGAAAGTCCTATTTTAGTACTTTTCTCTATGTTTTAGTCCTATTTAGGATGATTTCTAAGATTTCTAACAATATATTAACAAAAAAATTAATAAGGAGTATTTTTTTAGTGGTAGTACAAGCCTAATAATTGTGGATGTTATACTCCAATAATTACGGTGAAAGAGCAGCAATGTATCTAATTTTTTTAGAATGCGGTTGAGAGTGATTTCCATTTATGCCCTCCCTCAACTACTTAATGCAAAATTTTATACGTGGGTCAATTCTTTCCTTATAAATGCTTTTAATATTTTCACTTTAACACCCACATACCTCTGTGACTAATAGCCGTCGGATGCATCTGATCTCACGTTTCTCCTTCATTCTTATTTCTTTCATTGAGGTTCATTCTCACTTGAACTGATCCATATATATATATATATATATATATATATATATATATATATATATATATATAGAATTTGGTTCTGGTGAGAATGCAATCTTAGGAGAGAAATGAGAATGAATCTAGTGCTTTAGATTGTGAGATCTAAGGGTCAAGATTTCATCAATATTAGATGCACCAAAATGGTGCGAAAATGCATCACGTCGAAATGCACCATAAACCTTCGAAAATGCACTATCTCAAAATCTGGGTGCAGGATGCAATCTGAGCCGCACGATGCATCAGATCCGACGGCTAGATTTTATTCTCATTTCTCTCCACAAGGTGCATTCTCACGGGAACCGGCCCCTATATATATATATATATATATATATATATATATATATATATATATATATATATATATATATCTAGGCGGTCTAAACTAAATTGAACTCATGTAAGTATTGGAATCACCAAATCACCTTCAAGCTATGTTATAAGATTCAGGCCTTGTGAGGAGCGTTCGCATACATAGTAGTGTTGGGTTAAAAACGTTCATTGGACCTACCTATATATCACTTTTATATGGTTCTAACCCACCCATTTAATATCTTCTATAGGTTATTGAGCACCAGCCTCGAGAGATACTCGAGTGTCCGTAACTATAGTTTGTTAGTTTGAACCTTAGTTGTTGAATAGATTCAGTGTAGTGTGATCGTTAGAACCGAATTGAATAATTAATTAGTCATGTTGATGAATAATAAGGTTTGCTGATTCTTTTGATATTGTATGATTATATGTTGATGCATTCTAGCCTATGAGTTAAATATAATATTATATTTTTAAAATTAAAAAGGAATTTTTATACAACCTTTAATTAATTATGAAACATTATAAATGATTAAATGAATTTATAACAAAAAGCACTCTTGCTTGGATGGTTAGGAATTCAACTAAATGTCTAAGAGGTCTTAGGTTCAAATCCCCATGGTTGCATGTTTTGGAAAAAATTGCAAAAAAAAACATGTCCGACCAGTTTGCACCAGTTCGAATCTTGTTACGGTCCAAAGGGCTGGACCAGATCTGTTGGGCCACCAGTTCGCCGGTTCACGGTTCGAACCGGATGGTCTAGTCTAATTTTTAAAACTATGGTAGAAAGTATCAAAGTAGGAGATTCATATTTTTTTTATCTCCAAAATACAAGATACAATATATAATACAAAAAAACTTTAATTTGTGAAATGACTATGGCTGTGGTTGGAAAATGGTTATTCGGATAACTTTTGGCATCTTTAACTAACTTTGGCGTTGTTGACTAATTGAACAACTAAAATCGGTATTTGACTCATGGTTTTTCTGTTTTTCACATGGTTGTTTGATCTAAAAAGCCAAAATTCGGAAAGCCAAAGAGAGTAGCTTTTAGACTTGGCTGTTAGGAAAACTTATTTTTTAAAATTATTTTTCTTGAAAGATATTCAATATTATATGTAAAAAAATTGAAGTAAAAAAATTAAATTTAAAAATTGA